CATGTGAGTATCCAGGACAAGTGATTCTCATGCACTTGTACTTGGCATCTAGAAGCTCACTAGATAGAGGAGTGGGTAGGGATTTAGCTTACACTCCGGCCTAGCTGGAACCTGTCTTCCTATCCACACCAGAGTGGGGAGTACATCTGGAATGCCTTATCCACTCTCTGTGTGCTAACTACCTTGGCTTTCGCTGATGAAATCCCCTTTTCTGACCTGCATCATGCCTGTCAACAAGGGACTGTTTTCCCTGATAATAGCCTCACTTTGGGCATTTACCTGGCTCATGTGGATCTATACTTAGGCACACATATCAGAAATACACCCAGTGGCTGCCTCGGGCATCCCTAATCCAGTGCTGCAGAACCTTTCAGCACCAGGTATCCCGGGTCCGAATGCCAGCTGAGCACCTGGGCCCTGGTATCAGCAGTGATATCGCATGGCGAGCGTTGAAGGATCTTAGGTGCATTTTAGACGTAGAACACTGTTTTATTGGCAGACACGTTTTGCAGGCTAAATCAGGCAGGCGGAATTGCTTTTTCACTTTAAAAAAAAAAAAAAAAAAGCACAACAACTGTTGCCAACAACAACAAGAAAAGAGGTTTCGCATAAAAAAAAATCTTGATGTTTGGCCTTCTCTGGGAAAATTGGGACATCTGCAGCCGCCAGCCTCACTCCTCGGTGGCAGTGGTTCTTTTCCAGCTGAACGGCGGAGGCCTGTTTTAGATCGGGGGTGGGAGGGCGCTGAGAATGGGCACCTGGGAAGGCCCAGCTCTTCCAAACAGTTCCCTGCGCCGAGCCCTCAGTCACTGTGATTGTGCTGTTGCTTTCCAGGACCCTCCCCCTCCACCGCCAACCGCCCCGCGTGTATCGCCCCCCTCCCCCGGCCTGTGGGTACTTGGGCATTTGACCCTGGCAGCTGTTGGGTCAGTTTTTTCTTGTTGGCTCAACACTTGTGCTTTGCTTACGCTGTTTCTTTGGAATGTCATTGCCTTTCAGGAGCGCCTACCCCAGTCTTCACCTCATTTTCAAGGCCAGCCTCAAGGTCCCCTGCTCTGCACAGACAACATGGCGGAGAATTTGATTGCACACGTCGTTCTGTTGCTTATTGTTCCATGTCCTCCCTCTCCCACGTGGTCATATGTTTCCTGACTGGCAGGAAGCATGGCTCTCTTACACTGTGTATCACTGTGAAAAAGGTTAATGCTCAGCTTCCTTACCTCATTTTTTAAAAGGCGGAGAATAATCCCTTATTGATCTACCTAGCATTTAGTATGAAGCATATTTATACATGGCAGGAGGCAGCAGGACAGTGTCCTAAGAGGAAACTAAAATACAAATAGGCACAACCAGGAAGCCTGGTAAGGACACAGAGGCTCACCCCGAAAGGGTAGGTGCCCTGCTGGAGTCCTACGGGTGGCGGAGGGCCACGTCTTTGCTCTACCCATGATGGCACCCAGCCTCGCCAGCACTGCCTCTACAGCCAAGCCCTGCAGATCCTCCTTCGGGCTTAGCTTTCACCGGTCACAATGAAACAATCCCCAAGTTCCTTGACTAGTACACCACTAATGAAGCAAAAGTGTGGATGCCTATCGAACTCATCGCACCCTGACACACAGTGGGGAGGGGGGCTGTGAGAAAGCCCCGCGGCACCAAGAGCCAAGCTACGGTGTGGGCTGGACTGGATGGTGACAGGACATCGGGTGCAGAGGCAGCACTGCGAGGGCGTGAGGGAAGGGGTGCACAGTAAGCAGTGTAGCCGGGCTGGCATCTGAGAGCAGTGTTGGATGAGGCAGGCCAGGGAAAGGGAGTCAGATTTGCATGTTGTGCTGAGGGAGTTTGACTTGGTGGGGGTTGGGGGTGGTGGTTAGAGCCTTTTAAGGAGGGGCAGGTCTGGTTGCTTGGAGCGTGGCTCTGGGGGAAGCAGGGAGCTGGTGGCAGGAGGCTGCCATGGGAATCTGGGCTTAACCCTAGGCAGCGGCAGTGGAGAGGAGCGTGGTGGAGAGGAGCGTGGTGGAGAGGAGAGTTGTGGAAGGGCGCAGAAGATGTGGGAGCCTTTTAGGACATTACGGGATGACAGCCTTCTTTCTGGGCGGAGATGCAGTTCTTCCAGGAGACAGGCAGCGGGGCTGGCTGTGCAGCCTGTGGTTTCCAGAGAAGTGCTCATGGCTTCTGGCTCCGCTCCCTCTGGCTGTATAGATGTACCCTTTAGGGAACAAGGGAGCTTTTCACGGGGCCCGCTCGGCCACCTCCTTCTCACTGTCACGTGTCAGCTGTCGCCACAGCATATACCGATTCCGCTGTTTACACAGGCACACCATGTACTTTGGTCAAAAGGTCCCGTTTCTGCATACGTATAAGTCTTTCTGGATACACATTAGCCATGCATAGGAGCAAATTGTGTATTTATTCTGTAGTCGTAAGTGTGAGGGATGTTAAGAGTGGTGTTTTCTGCTTATGGAGCTTTCTGTTTTGAGTTTTAAAGACATTTAGCCATCTGTTTATGACTTTAAAGTGAGTGCTTTAAGTGGAGGCCATGAATAAATACATGAGTCATGAAAGGTATTGAAGAGGTATTATCAATAATGAATTGCTACTGTACATCTTACTTAGCTATTATTGTGGCTTTTACAAAGGTCTAATGTAATCAGATGGTATTTTTAAGGAATTAAAAAAATCCAATATTAAATATAGATTTTTAAAATTTGAATTATATCTTTTCAGAAGAGATTTTGGCGTTGCTTGAACTGCATTTAAAATAATCTATTTTTCTTTGTTGCTGTTTCTTAAAGCAACTTTTATCCAGATCCTTAATAATTTACAGATGACATGTATTTATGTAATATTGTGTTACCACATTATTTAAAAAAATGGAATGTCGGATTTATCGTTGAACTTTTTTTCAGAAATATGCAAATAATAGTCTGTTCCTCCAGCCAAACAAATGATTCATTTCACCCAGTTATTCTATAAAAGAATGAATTCTATCTTCTCCTCACTGTAGGTGATTGGTTCACAGGTTCCAGAGCTTTTTTTTTTTTCATTTTTTTTTTCCATAAAGCTTTATTTATCTGACTGCAATGTAAAAAATCAAAGAGTTTTAGAGTTTGGCACACATGGGCAAATTAAATTTTATAGAATTTTATTTAAAAATATTTTAAGTTGATTTTTAGAGAAAGAGAAAGAGAGAGGAGAGAGGGACAAACGGAGAGGAGAGAAGGGGAGAGAGAAAGAGAAACTATGATGTGAGAGCAAAACATTGGTAGGCTGTCTCCTGCACGTCCAGGATGATTCCTAACCGATTGAGCCACACTGGCCAGGGCTACAGCATTTTCAAAATATACTTCTCAATATTAATATGAGAGTAACAGTTGGAACAGATATTTCATTTGTAAATTTTTATTCTTTTTGTTGTAGTTGACATCCTTTGGGAGTTGTGTAAATTTAAATATAAATAAAAGAAATAAAATATTTCAACCCAGGGAACAGTGTTATTGCATAGCTGAATATTATAGACCTAAAACAAATGCTAATATATTTTGACCTTGGTTTGTACTTGACATCCTGGCAACCAACAACGGGTACTGGCAGAGGGAAATTCTGAGAGCAATTTGAACGGGCTCACACTGCTTACTCTGTTGTAAGGTTTTGAGGTGTTGACTGCCCTTTTTATTACTATTTTCCAGCTTACAATCAAGCTGTCCTTGAGTTGGCTCTTACTAATACTAGCCCTTAGTAGTTGACACTCACCAGTGTTAACCTTTAGTAAAAATTTAAGAAATGCACACATTAATGATCATTGGGTATTTCTATTGTCACATACAAACATGATTTTTTGCATCTATGCATGTGTGTATATACAATATGCCTAATTAACTCATTTTCTAACAAAAAAGAACTTCTAGTGTATAACGGATCTGAAGAACATCATTCCATCTATACCTAGGAAAATTTCCCAGAAGAGCAAACATTGAAAAAAACAACCCAAACCTTTGCAGATTGAGCTTTTCCTTTATGTTGAATCGGTACTTATGGAACCACCTGGGCAGGCTGACTCCAAGTATCGATACCTGGGTTTGTGGATGTGCCATCATGATTTTGGCTAAAGTGTTAGAGAATACTGTTTAAGCAAGGATGTGAGGATGTGGAAGACAGATACTATCCATCATTTATTTAAAAAAAAACTCCACTCCCCAAGCATTGATGACATGAAATTAAAGAGGCTGTAAAATCTACATTAATATAAGAGAAAGATCAAAATTGACCATAACTTTTGCAACACCCACCAGCCAATCAGGAGTGAGTATGCAAATTAACCCAACATGCTGGGTTAATTTGCATACGCAGGCGGTGAACCGCCAGGAGCAGGGTGGGATGCTTGTGTCGTCACCATGGTGATGACACAAGCATCCTGCACCACCCCAGCCACTCCAGGCCTCTGTGCAGTGTGGAAAGGCAGAATGGTGGCTCCAGGCCAGAGTGAAGGTGGTGCCGGCAGCCAGGGGAAGGAAGGTCCATTCTTGCACGAATCTTCATGCATCAGGCCTCTAGTAATCATAATAAAAGAAAAACAAAAAGAAATTGTATCACATACTAGTTTGACTGCCTCTGATGCTTTGCTTATAAATTATTTTCTAAAGTGAATCAGTTAAAAGCTAAGCTCCTGTATATTTAGGGCTTTGGAAATGTGTTTAATTTTCATTGGTGCAATAATTTGTGGTCAGTTCTGACTTTCGATACCTTTTGGTGGGTAATATACTTTGGTGTGCTGAGCTTTTGGACCCATGGGGTTGTTGACCCATCACCCTGACGGTATTCTCTATAAAGTGCAGTGGTCGGCAGATGGCGGGACTGCCCCAGTGTATATCCGAGGAGTGCATGATGGCTGAAAGAGGCCATGACCGCTGCAAAGGTCAAAGGAAAAGAGATGTTCATACAGTCAGATTTTGTAAGCAATAATGTCTTACATAAAATAAGGGTGATTTTCTTTTCCCTTTCAGATTTTGGGGTAAGTGCATTCTTAGCAACAGGGGGTGACGTTACCCGGAATAAAGTCAGAAAAACATTTGTTGGCACCCCGTGTTGGATGGCCCCTGAAGTCATGGAACAGGTAAAAATAAACGATGGCTTGATTGATACAGTACAGTCGTGCACGTTACGAATACACTGACATTTCATGCAGAGCACCCATTTCACTTGAATGCATCACATAACTAAAGCTTAACTCCCGGCTGCTGGGCCTTGACACACTGCTCTCCAAGTTGTGCACGCACAGTGTGGGCCTCCCCCTGGGCGGGCCTGCTGTCTAATTGTGTTTTCTCTTGGCTCCTTTCTTAGGTGAGAGGCTATGACTTCAAGGCCGACATGTGGAGTTTCGGAATCACTGCCATCGAATTAGCAACAGGAGCGGCGCCTTATCACAAATACCCTCCCATGAAAGTAATTACTCTTGGAAATATTACGTCAGGTTTGAAATAGGGCTGAACGGAAAAGGGGGTCTTAGACATAGCCATGTTTCTCTTGAGCCTGAGGAGAATTAATGGAGGAATGCAGACAAGCTAAACGTTGCTAAACGTTGTCCGATGTCCTCAGTGGACAGAGCAGGACAGAAGCAGTGCAGTGCCCCGCTTTGAAGCTGGCTTTGTCTGCATTCTCAGAGCTGAGTAAGGCGTGGGATCTGATTGGTCGATGGAGGTTGATAGCTGTGACAAAGGCTGGCCATTACTCCTTTGATATCAGTCTATCCCCCACACGCCAAGGGAAATCTAAAAAAAGGTAATAGTGATATCATCTTTGCAGATGGATTTCCCAAATTTTCAGGCCTATTAAAAAAAAAAAGTCTAACATTTTACCCATTTTCATGGCATCATGTTGGTGACTCGTTTGAAATAAGCGAGTTCAGTATTTTTTGGAAACAACATACATTTGGATACTGTTTTCAGATTTTTGTGATTCTTATAGTTGGCCTATGTCATTATTTTTCTTAGTTCTTAAGATAGTGGTATCAGGGCGAATTTACCCAACTGGATTTTGTTTTGAGACTGAAGTAGTTTGGATGGAAATTATGAAGGTATTTTACAGAGAATATTGGTCCATGTTTGTTTCAACGTTTTCCTAGGGAAATATTGGAAAAATTTAGGAGGATATTTTTAAAGCCCTGGGAATAAAAAGGTTAAATAATTTTACTGATTAAAATGTCATTACATGCTTATTGTTGAAAAATCTGAAAATACAAATAAGAATAAAAAAGAAAATAATCATTTAAAATCTCATCAACTATAGATAATCCCTGTTAAGGTTTTAATATAGTTCATTACATTGTTTCTCTCTCTCTCTCTCTTTCATACATACACACACACACACACACACACACACACACACACACAAATAAAATTAAGATTCTGTTGTGATGTAAACAGTTGAAGTGACCTTTCAAAGGAAAAGCACTAAAGCAACTTAGAGGATTTTTTCTTCCATTTGGCTTTTCTGTATTATTTTTTCTTATTTCTTGTTTTCTTTCTTTCCTTACTTAGTGTTTGCCACCTGAATGTATAATCCCAGCCTGAAGTCCTGGGGACTTTTCTCAGGACCTTGCAGTTCTCCCACTTCTTCTGTTTGCTATTATCCCTACAAACAATAAGCTGTCACTTCAATCCTTCATCTATTCACATGTCTGAAAGTGTTGGGAAAGTGACATGACATGTATAACATTTGCATAAATTAAGGCTGATTTATGCACTAATGCTTTATTCATTGTATAGGTCGATAGTTTACTATAAATTCTTTTTCTTCAGCAAATCATTTAACATGTGCCAGAGTGGCATCGTTACCTTTCTGGTTTGAAGCTGTATTCTGATTTTGTGTTGCTCTCTCCAAGAGCAGCATGGCCTTTTGCCCTGGTTTATGGTTTTTAGCAACTCAGCCATATTCTGGCCGTCTTTTGGGTTTGCCAAGCCTTTAAGCAATTTTCTGTACTTTTTTTTTTTCACTAAAAAAAAAGAAAAAAAAAAAAAGGAAATCATGTGTTCCATTCTGGGATATTGTGAATTTATTTTTAGGGTTGGTAATGTTACAGAGGCCTTGAGTACAGGCGGTTCCTTGCTGATGAATGACCTGTGCACACTTCCCTGTTGCCCTGGCCCTCTCCTTGCTCTCTCTCCCTCCCTCTCTCTCTGCTACACCACGCCCTTTCCCAGCCACAGCCCTGTCTGCACTCAGCGGGGCCTGGAGATTACGTGCTCCTCCAGGCAGTGCAAGAGCCAGTTCCCAGGAAGCTCTGTCCACGTGTCTTTGGGAGATCATTCTTAACAAATAGAGCAGATTTTTTTTTTAAGTTCTGTCAGCGGAATAACAAAAATGTTAAAGGGCTCATGAACCAGTTTGCAAAGAGAAATGAATGCTTTAAATACACACCCTCTGTACAGCTGCAATCATGGGGAAAAGCACCATTGTATCTAATCCAAGCTGGTCCCTGATGCTTCTGTGAAAAAACTAAAAACCCAATTGTAGCCATTGCTACACTGAGGCTCTGTCTTTATGTTTTGTTTCCGCTGCAGGTGTTAATGTTGACTTTGCAAAATGATCCACCCACTTTAGAAACAGGAATAGAGGATAAGGAAATGATGAAAAAGTATGGCAAGTCCTTTAGAAAATTACTTTCCCTGTGTCTTCAGAAAGATCCTTCCAAAAGGTATGTCAATCTGGGTGGATGAGTTACTGGGCCTGGTCTGAGTCACCACAAAGCTTTGTTTGTGGAGGGGGAAAGGCTGTATGAGGACACCTGCAAGGTACTTCTAGTTCAAGGGAAATGCTGCTCCGGCCCCCAGATTTCCAACCTGTTAGTGGAAGACAGCATGGGTCCACAGGGAAAGAAGGGAAGGGGGGCAGGGGAGAGGCACAGGAACATTTCAGTGTTAATAAGATTTGCTGTGCTTGGGAGGTGCAGGCTTTGTCATCAAAGGAAATGAAGTAAAGCAGAAATGAAGAGAGATTGGCAGTGGTGCATTCAGAAGCTGAGCTCATATTCTGCACCGTGTAGGTTGAGCTGACCTCTCAGGATTTGAATATCCTGCAAGCTCCGGTCTACACCAGGCAGAGCTATTGAATTTTGCATGAGCTTCCTTTCAGTTGCAGAACAAGTTGTTTGTACCATTTAAAAGATTATTGGTAAAGAAGCTTAATATTTTTGCATTAGGAAGATGAATCATGTAAACAGAAGTAAATTGTTTTAAGTGACCTTTAGAATTTCCTCTTTATTCTCAGGTGATTGCCCCCATACTGTAGAGTGTCTGTGTTCTGAGTTTGTTTCTTCCTTCTTAATTTGTGTGATTTTGAACTCTCCCGAGTGGTAAGCATAGAGCAAGTGTCCTTTTATCACTTAGAGGAGAATGTTAGTGATGTGAACCACGCAGGCCTGGCCTGGGTAGAGTCCCTTCCTGGGGCCTGGCGGTGTGTGGCACCCTCCCAGCATGCAGTGGATTGACTGGCCTGACAAGGACTCTGAAAAGTTATCTGCTACCCTCATCCGCCCTAGGGTCCAATCTGATAATTATATTTTAAAGCCTGTGAACTGGCTTCTCTTCTGAAACTTTCTTTTTCAGGGAAGGACCCGCTTTTTGAAGAATTCCTTTATTCTTATCTTCAATTCTTTATGAAACTCAAGCCTTTTACCTTTAGACAGTGCTCCTTGAGCTGTTTGAGATCTCACCTAGTGGTGATGCTGTGTAATTCCAGCTCTGTCAGAAAATCTGTTTGAGGGGGCTCCCCTTTACAGTAAGCACAGTTGACATTACTTCACCCATCCCTTGTAGCAATCCTCCTCATTCCTTTACATTTTACTGAATCTGCATTCAGTCTTTTTTGTATTCGTCCTCTTCTGATGGAGCCGGGTCTAAAGATTGTTTGCTGTTAAGTATCTTGAAATTATTTATTGTAAAAGGGATGCTTGTTTTGTCACACTTATAGACTGTTTCTGCTTAAACATCTTAGTTGCCCTTTGTATTTGATTTGTAAGGTTTATTTTTCCTCTGAATTTATACTGGTTTTTCCTTAGGATTACTTCTTTACTCCCCCTATTAGATGAAAATTCTCTAAAATTCTAATTTTGTTCTGCAACACTTGCTTGCCTACCCCTTGGATTTGGTGTCATCTCCAAATATCAATTTTTGGCATCACCCAGGAACCAGGATTTAATTCTCCAAAGCCCAATGCGAGAGAAGTGCTTGCCTTCCCAGTTAGCACTGTGTTATTACTGTTAGTCTTTGTGGTCCTTGAGCTAGTTGAGATCCCACCTAGTGGTGGTGCTGTGTAATTCCAGCTCTTTCAGAAAATAATTCTGTATGGTAGAATAGTGTGCCTAAAGATGTAGCAATATCACTCTTTAGAAGATTTGTAATTTGGTTAAAGTAAATTAGATTAGATCATCATATTTTGTTATATTTAACAATCCATCCTATTTCTTAGTAATCTTGAAAGTCCTTCTGGGATTTATTTATCTTAAGAACTCTAATATCAGGTTCCTATTAACCCCCCCCCCCCAAAAAAAAAAAAAAAGATATTTTAGAAAAGAGCCATACTCTTACATTTTTACCAGGTCTTTCCTTCAGAGTTCTCTCTTAGTGACATTATCAATCTACAAAGCATTAATAGTTTAAGAACTTTTTAAAGGTATTTTCTCTGTGTCATACTCTGTTCTCACCATTGCACAGCTGTCCTCAGTAACAGAGTGTGTTGGTGGTGCACAAACTTCCCATGTGACCTTTTTTTTTTTTTTTAATGAAAAGGTGGATTTTGGAAGTTTGCTGTGAAAAGCTTCATGAAATGTGAGAATGGAAAAAAAAAGGCAATATTGTTGAATTTTTCTTACATAGGTACAACTTAAAATATGTATTTATTCCTGAATTAATAAGTAAACCTTGGATTGCTGCACACTTATGAAAGAAGCCATGAATATACCCTGCCTTCTCGGCCTTTGCTTATGTTGTCCATGAGTTCTTCTCTTCCCTCTGTCCACCTCCCACCTGTCTTTCAGCACTTAATTCCAAGGCTCCATTTCCTTAGAGATAGATATCTCAGGTGAGATTTCTAGTTTATCACCACCCGTGTGACTTAGTTTCCTTGGCTGTAAAATGGGGCTAATGACACCTACTTCATAGGCCTGTGCTGAGGATGGAGTAAGATAATGCACTGCAAACCGATAGCACAGTGCCTGGGGGTTCCTAAATATTCAAGAAATTGGAATTGCCATTCATTACCTGCCTTTTTCTTCCTGACCAAATAGACTTTTTGCAAATTTTAATTTTCTTACCATATGTTGAGTACATGTCTCTGATCTCCTCATAAGTTTGTAAGTTTTTTAGAAAGAGCCTGTGCCACTTATCCTTATATCTTTCTATCTGCAGTGTCTGGTGAATCTGATTTACTCAGGTGTATTTCTTGAATAACTGGACACAATTGGGTTTTTGCACTTTTAGGTGATTTTGACTCATTGCAAAGAATTCAGAAACCTGATTCGAGTAGGTTTAGGAATGAATGCAAGACTTGGGGGTAATTTATATTTATTTCTGTTGCCTGCAATAGAGTATATTCTTGTAAGCTGAAAGCAGACAAATGGGACCAAAGCCCTGGTCTTGCTGAGCACCTTTTAAACAGTGAATAGCCGGGACTGGTTTGGCTCAGTGGTTAGAGCGTAGGCCTGCGGACTGAAAGGTCCCGGGTTCGATTCCGGTCAAGGGCATCTACCTTGGTTGCGGGCACATCCCCTGTGGAGGATGTGCAAGAGGCGGCTGGTCGATGTTTCTCTCTCATCGATGTTTCTAACTCTCTATCCCTCTCAATTCCTCTCTGTGTAAAATCAATAAAATATATTTAAAAAAAACAACAACAGTGAATAAAATCATATCAGGGACCAGGCCCAGTTCACGCATGTGCGGGAGTCCTCAAGCTAGATGAGAAGGGGTCATGCTTTTTTTTTTTTTTTTTTTTTTTTTCCAATCTTGAGACTCATGGAACTTTCCTGAAAAAAAGAGAGCAGAGCTGGTTTGTAGGAACTGTTTGCCTCATTTAAATCTGTGGCTCTGCCTAGGCATAGATGAAGAATTACGGTATTTGGATAGCAGCACATTTTGCCATTTCTTAAAAAAAATGAGCCTTCAGCTTGTAGATTACATGCCCCCAATGGGTGGCGATTATAAGAGGACCCGACCTTTTCTTTGAGCAATACGGTGTGCATGTTGCGTAGATAAATTCATTGGAAATGAATAGAACTTGGATATTTCACTTAGGGGGAGGGGCCGGGGAGACACGCGGGTCTGCCTAAGGTCAGTGAGCTATTTGGAATTGTCATGCAAATTGCTGGAGCTACTTACTGTGTCATACTCCTCCGGAATCCTTTGAAAACCATTTCAAGTCTCAGTGGACTTGGGTTCATCCATATGCATTAACTGAATCCTTTACCAGATTTTCTTGTGAGAATGTGGGTACTTGCAGACTGCCACATTGTTTTCGAGGATTTAAAATTGAATCATCATTCAATGCCGGGCCAGTTATGTGGGCTGCTGATCCAACATTGCTCACGAGACGGTGTTTGTATTCATTCTGCCTCGTGCTGCTGGGTAATTGAGAGCAGCCACAGAGGACACACTGCGCTTGCGGAAGTCTTGCTCCTGTGGACTTCGCCAAGAGGCAGGTAGCATCGAGGGCTCCGCGTTAACCCTGCACAGGCAGTTGCTATGGCATCGGACATAAAGCAGACACAAAACCAAAAGACTAACGTCAGGTTTCTCATATCTTCTGTCCCGTTCTTCTCTGTCTCTTTCCCCTCATTCTTTCCAGTTCCATTTTCCCGTACTTTGTCCTGCGGTTGTCTGGCACATGGATTTGACTCTGACGCTGTCGACACCTGAGCTAACTGGAGCACCAAAAGGACCTGCTGTTTCGTACTCTGTTTTGAGTAGAAATCACCTATTCATTAATTAATTAATAGAAATATTAAGTCTACAAAAAAAAAACAAATGAGGCTTCTCTAAACCTTTTCTCAATCCTCCCGTGATTGCATTTCTGTATTTATTGATAAAGGCCGGAGCGGAGTGCAGAGAAACCCTGGAGTCTGCTTTTCCCCTTTATAGTCCCGTTACCATGGAAGTGACCTTGCTGGGGAAGGGAAAGTATTTTCCCAGCCCTGAGTCCCAGGGTATGTCTGGCATTTCCCAGCCTTCTCTCTGCTTTGGTCCTGCACTTGACCCTTAGTGTGAGGAGGAGGAGGTGGGTGCAGAGGAGGCACGGAGCATTTTGGCTCCCGGGTCAGTATATCTGTGTACAGACTTTCCCCCTTTTCCTTTTTTTTTGGGGGGGGGCAGGGCTCACATGAGTCTGTTTTCATTACATCATTCTGCTATTTCCTACTCTATTGATCAGATGCTTAGACTTGAAGAGGCGACTTAAGTCTAGCCCAAGGAGTTGTGGTTCTGTGTCCAAATGGCTAGCAGCGTTTCTCCCACCCTTAATGAGCTATAGCCATTTCCCGCTCTATGCCGGACATTGGCTGTATAAAGATGAGTGCTGAGTGGCCCTGTCGTGGGAGGGGGTATAACCCAGCGGAGGGGAGGTAGGAGGCAGGAACACTCAGTTACAGAAGGGCAGTGTGGCAGGCGTGATGTGTGAGCAGGAGCGGGGATCAGAGTGAAGCTGGTTAGCGGGAGGCGGGAGGAGCATCTCTGAAGATGCCTGGCATTTAAACCAGCTCTTGACCTCTGAACAAGGCGTGTCAGTGACAAACATTGTAAAACAAGAAAAGCCTTTGCATGTGCTAATGTCATGAGAGAGCAAGGTGGGTGAGAAGATCGTTGTAGCTGGAGGACAGAGGTCACACAGGGTGTGATGGGAAATGAGGATGGAGAAGCTTAGCCTCCCTGGCCCCCAAGACCCACTAGGCTGAACGAAGGTCTGCTTAGAGGCAGGATTTAGGGCCTCCACGGACAGACACAGTTTGCAAGGGTTGGCTGCACTTAGTGTCGCTTCCTGATTCTTTCCTCTGCTTGGATGATGGGTTGGAATGAGGAGGAGAAGTGATGGAGAGACTCACTGGGAGGCCACTGGAGTGGTGTTGGGCAGAGGCGATGAGGGTTTCAGTGATCTTGAGCTCCTTAACCGTCTTGATTTTCCTAGGTTTCTTTTTCACTTGAAAAAATTCAACCTAAGTTTTTTGTATGCCTCCTAGGTTTTTGAAGTTTTGTTTTGTGTTATGAGGTACTAGGTATAATATGCCTAGCCTCTGGCATCATGCCTAACACATAGAAGATGCTTGATAAATATGTATTTCCTGAGAGAGGGAAAGGATGAATTTGCAGTAGCTGGAGGCCAAAAACATTGTTGACGATCAGTGAGAGCATACGTTAAAATAGCAACCAGGCTCCACTTCTGTAAAAGAGTAGTCTCATTTTCTGTTCTAGTTTTCATTCTAGTTTCACAAGGTGCACATTCATGGATTCGGACGAGCTTACCGAGGGATGTGGCGCACAAAGAGTGAACCGTGGCCTACCTGTGGATTAGACCTTGGCTTGCTCGGAGCAGGGAGCAGGTAGTGGCTGTGTATGGCGGTGGGTGTGGCCATTCTGGTTCTTTTCAGGGACCTGCAGCCAGCGTCCCACTTGAAACCTAGGTAGAGAGCAAGAACAATTTAGGTTTCTGTGTCTTTGCACAGAAGTACAGTGTGGGGCCAGAGTAGTCTCAGGCAGTTTGTGCATCGTTGCACTTGGCCACGCTTCCTGATTCTTTTATGTGCTTGGGTTTGGCCCCTGGAAACATGTTATCGGAGCTTTCTGGTTCCAAAGAAGTGGTTTCTAATCTCTTCAAATGTGAGAATCTTTTTAAACTTGCACCACCCTCCCCCCAACATAGTACTGTTTGCACCTTTGCAAAGCATTGCCTGAGAGAGAATACCTATTGATACTCAGTAATGGTTCTCTCCCTCCTCCCAGTTTTAAAATTATGAACAATTTAAGACATACAGACAAGGTGAAAAACTTTACAGTGTTTACTTCTACACCATAACCTAGATTCAACAATTATTAACATTTTTCATATCTACTATATCTATTTATCTACATTTTACTTGCTGAATGAACAGTTTGAAAATAAGTAACAGACTTAATACTTTAGCTTGCATTCCATACAAATTGAGAAATGTTCTAAATAACCACAGTACTTTTCCATGTGTAAGAAAATGAACGGTAATTTCCTAAAACTGTCTGTTACCTAGCATATTCACTTATCTTATATAATAAAAGCCTGATATTCAAATCAACTGAACAGTGGAACCACTGGTCGGCAAGGGGCAGGGCTGGTGAGTGGGCAGCGCCACGGCAGTCAAAGCGGGTGCCAGCTGGAGACGGTGATGGGGGGGTGGTGACTGGCATTGGCGGAGGGGTGATTGGGGGCAGGCCAGCCAAAGCTGTCCTCTGTTCACTCTGCCAGCTGCCTTCTGCAGAGGGAGGCCACCAGTGCAGCGGTGGGGCGATGGGGGGCGTCCCCCAGTCGGCCCACTGGTCACCTCCCGTGGGGAGCAGGCCTGAGCTATCAATCGAACATCCCCCGAGGCACCTGGACTGAGAGAGGGTGCAGGCTGGGCTGAGGGGTGTCCCCCCTAGTCCATGAATTTTCATGCACCAGGCCTCGAGTCTATACTTATAAATTCCAAAGTGACCAAATGACCGGAACTACCGGAATGACCGGTCTCTCTGATGCAACCCCTGGTGGTCACTGTGCTCCCACAGCCAACCTCCCACCACCAGCCAGCCTCCCATGGCCCCTCCCCCCTGCTGGCAGGCTCTGGGGACCCCACCCATACACAAATTTGTGCGCCGGGCCTCAAGTCTCTAATTATTTCAAAGGTCTTTTGTAGTTTCTCCTCCTCCTCCTCTTTCAAATGCAGGATTCTGCCCAGGGGCATATACTATATTTGTCTTTATATTTCTTTAGTCTTAAAATCTGGAACCGTACCCTCACATCTCCCTTTTTTCTCTTTGACACTGACTTTTGGAAGAGATCAGTTCATTTGTCTTGCTGACTGTCCTGTAGTATATATTTGTGTGATTTTCTTTTTCTGCATTGCTGCTTGTTTTAGACAGCTGTTGATGAAGTAAGCTGTTCTCTATGGACTAACGCCAGCTCATAGACAGCAGAAGTAGATAATCAGTATTCTGCCACCTCCTATAGAATACTTATTTAAGGCACAGATGCTAAAATCATCAAGTAAAAGGTTTTGGGGGATAGGATATTCATAAACAGAAATGCCAAAGTGTTACCCAAAAGAACGCTTTCCCACTGCAGTGGGTCAAACATATGTTCACAGTGGGGAGATCTCAGGCCTGGGGACCAAGTAGTTAAACTTAGCATCAGTGCCCGTGACGTTACCTGACATTACGTGCCTCTGACGTGCTGCAGTAAAACAGACACAGTGTCGTCTAGTCAATGTTTCCCCCCCAAACGCTTGATTCAACCCTAGTCAGGCCTTCAGACCGAGAAACAAGTCCAGTGACTCCGTGAGGAAACAACCAGAACCATCCAGCAATCCTTTTAAGTGAATTTACATTTTATTAATCACCATCCTATTTTCCCTTGCCCTGCAAAACAGTGGTCCGGGTACACCTGAGACAGCGAGACAGGGCTGTTTGGGGGCGGGGGAGGTGCAGACAGCGGGCACACGTGGTGTGTGGACCGGACCCCTTGCCTTTCCCGACTCTCGGAGAATCCTCAAGCGCTGGAGTTCCCTGAGGGTCCTATTGCAGCTTATTCCGCTTCTCCATAAACATGGGAATTTAGCTCACGGATGTGTCGGTCTGACACCTTTTAGAAACAACCACATTCACTTAGTGAAGTGTAAGGGCGGCGGAGGATGGAAAATGGATCGTGCCCCAAATATTTAACTCAGAGGAGTTTGTGTGTTTTGCAGACAAGGAGCCCGGAAAGCACTGTAAAACGGGCACTGTTTTATGTGGTGCCAGCTTGTGATTAACTTAGTGTCTGGTTTTGCTATTCCTAAAACTGGTCTTCCAGAAAGATGCTAGGATTAAAGTTGTTTCGTCAAGGCGGTGTGTGTATCGAGTGGTCATTGTTTCAACTCTAATTTATTATTGATCTTTCAGGCCCACAGCAGCAGAACTTTTAAAATGCAAATTCTTCCAGAAAGCCAAGGTAACATGCTTAAAACCCCAAGTAAATCTGCTATTTTGAAACACTGTGAGTTTCTGCGTACCGGATCTGATGTTAAAGTGTTGGGAATATCTGTTTTGCAGAACAGAGAGTACCTGATTGAGAAGCTGCTCACGAGAACACCAGACATAGCCCAAAGAGCCAAAAAGGTAAGCGTCATCCGCCCCGCCAGCCCGGCAGGACCGGAAGCCCATGGAAGGAGCGTCCCACAGGCTCAGGACAGGCCTGTTTGGAGGTCACATGATCAGTGATTACTCAGATGGCGGCAGGCTGCCTTCTGGTCATCCCAGCTTGCTTTCCTTTGTTTGGGTGTGGGAACCATGGCAAACGCAAATGATTTCATTTTTCTGTTTATCAGCTTTGCTTAGAGAAGGTCAGAGGGGAGGGGACTGTCCTGAGTTCTGAACACTGGAGAGGTGGAACGTCCTTGAATATCTATCTTTCCTTCGGGTTTTACAGAAGAGGGACAGTCTTGTGAAAGCTGCTTGAAATGACAAAAGGAAAGACAAAAGGAAAGACAAAATATGGGGGGGGGGGAGGTATAGGTTTTTTCCTCATAAAAGATCCTGTGGGGACTTTTATTGCCCTCCTTATGTTAACTAAATAAGTCTTACGATGACTTGAAAAGTTTGTCATTCTAGCTTTGATACTTTTTAAGTGGCGTGTATGTGTAAGTGTATTTATGTGTGTGTTTCACCAGAGTTTTATCTGTCTGTAATTACTGATTTCATTATGGTATGAAACGTAATAAAATGTAGCCTCTATTCTGGTTTTAAAATTATATTAGGTATTTATCATTAAAACTATGTATGTGGCACAGATTTAGTTTTTCACTTACCTAAGAAAGCTGATGCGATAGCTGAGTCCCCCGCTCTGTAAATAAAACTGGCAGAGTATGCATGAGTGATGGCATCTCACTAGGCCCAGCTGGGAGTAAACTTGGAATGCTAACTTCCAGACCTTGACCTTATAAAACGTTCTGTATGAAATGCATTTCGCTAATGCCGTGGAATTACTTTGAATAGATTTTGAATAGGCTTCAAGGAGTGACCCACCTGAGCGTCTCTGCTGGACCAGCAGACCGCTGCGGGGTGGGCTGGTCCCTGGGCTGGGAGCCTGGGCTCGGGCTGGGGGGCTGCCGCGGTGGCTGCAGAGACCGGAGCACGGCTGGCCGGTGGGAGTCTCTGAAGGGAGGTGGCAGCGGGCAGGTCGTGGCTCAGAGAGGCACCTCCAGCACAGCGGAGACAGCGCTTTGGTTAGAGGCAGTAGAGGCTGGACGTGCCCACAGTCACAGGGCCCCACAGCGAAGCCTGAAGGAGGAGCCGGGAGATTCCTGGGGTGTTGGAGCTGAGCACGAGGTCTTTCGATGAGATCTCTAAAGTGTCAGCCAGAGTTGAAAAAAAGCTGTTAGGAAGCCATTGGCTTGTGCAGTCTGTGTCTCCAAAGAACATTTTTTTTTTTTTTTTTTTTTTAGCTTTTTGTCCCCCGAAAGTTTTGCTGATCTCATCCCGAGGCTCTTCCTCAGAGGGTTTTCTCTGTGGAGCGTTAGCCTCACGCCTCCAGCTCCTTGTTAGAGGCTGGCCAGCCTCTCGGGCCATTTCCAAAGGCTGCCTCCCGCCCAGACCCAGCCTTCCTGTGCTGTGTCCTCCCGAGGCGCCCCGTCTCAGAACACCCGGATTACCTTTGTATTTAAGACCTGCCCTCCTCATCTTCCCCATCGAACCACTGATTTCATTATGATCCCCTCCTCACCTCCCTCTGCACCATGGCTCCGAGCCGTTTCCTCCTTGTGTTAACTGGACAGAGCAGCCGCTTCCTCCCTCTCATCCCTCCGTGCCTCCTCTCTGCGCCTTCTCAGACTCCAGTGCAAGATTGACTTTCTCATCACCTCACCTCATTGCTCAAGAGTGGTTTCCAAAATTAAACAAAAACTTAAGCAAATATATGAGGGGTGTGGGGTGGGCAGCGGGGAGGTTCTTATCAAACAAAGGCCAAGCTGTGAGCCATGAAGCCATGGCCCCGATTTAGATTCCAGCCGCTTGACCTGAAATCCAGCTGCCTTGAACCACGTACGGTTTTCACTGTGTCACCCACACTTTCCTTTGGCACCTCTCCCCTCAGCTTGAGAAAATGAAGACCGCTCAGGCTGTGACCCTATTCCCTTACTTTCAGAAATAGATTCCAGTGATTTATTACATATTAGTGCGCCATGCATTGCAGTTCCCATTTCACGTGTCTCTGAAACAAGAAGTCGCTAATGTTTAAGGGGGCGGTCTGATTTTTTCCAACCATGTCGTCTGCTGTTTGCTTGCTTTCTGATTGTAGACCTAAACCTTGGGGCTTGTCTCGTCCTCTGTCCCTTCAAGTAGAAAATGGCCACACTTTCTCAGCGTCACGCTGAGGAGTAAAGGGAGAACGGAAATTAGTTCCTAAACATCTTACAGAGAGGAGGTGCGGTGTTATCCTGGCTCTCTGGCTTCGCTCGGTTGGCACTTTCCCTGCCACAATTCCCCTTTTTAGAGTCCACTTGGGTTGTGAGCTGCGCTCCACACCTTGGCCAGGGTTTGGGGCAGGTACGCCGACCAAGTGGGTCCGCATTGATGACAGTGTGTGTCTTGTTCATAGTAAGAACCGAAGCCGTTAGCTGGCTCCATGAGTGTACCGAGGAAAGACGGTGTGAAACTCTGTTTTCCACCCTCTTGACCGTCCCCGATCCTTGACATCCACTTGTTCCTCAGGTTCCTATTAATAGCCGATGGCCTTCCCTCCCTCCGCGGCTGGCGATGCTGGCGAGCAGCCATCTGCCAGCTCCTTACCTGAAGCTTCATGCAGGCTCAGCCACGAGGAAGGAAATACTCTCCATCACCAAGTGCACTGAACGCCTTTGTTGTGGGATGTCTTAGGTGCTTACCGTGTTTAGGTGAATTTGGCTTACCAGTTGGTAGGAGTATCTTTCTGTGTATATTTGGTGTGACTTGTCCTTAGGCTCCTCCGCCTTGACCTCTGCCGGCTGCTCAGTGCCTCCTGCTCCGGGTTCCTGGGGCAGGTTCCTTCCTCAGAGGCTACTTGTCCGTGAGAGCTCTTTGATTTTTGTCTCCTCCATTTGTTATTTTTCAAAATAGAAACAAACAGTCCGTTGACACACCGGTGTTTACGTCACGACGGGGCCTGTTGACTTAGCTCGGACCCGTCAGGCAGCCCTTTGCTTTGACATTTGTTGTCATAGACGGTCTCTTTCCTTCCCTTTTGGTCACCTCGATAAGACACATTTTCCAAGGTGTATTCTTATTTGCCACGCATCCATCTCAGATTCGGAAGAGAGGGGCCAGCGTGGCGGCTGTTCTCAGGAGGCCCCTCGGAGCCCGCACTGCTGCCCTTTGGCCTGGGAGAGGCAGATGCCAGGGTGGGAAGTGTTCGCTGGGAGCCTCAGAATTCCCTGTCTTCAACCTGATGGACTCCTTTCAATCAGGGGAGAAGTATATTAAGAAATAGAAACAGACCCCTTTGGCTTCCCTGGTAATTTCGTACTGTAAGATGATTTCTGTGTGTGTGGTAATTATAGAAATGGGGGATATTTGTTTTCTTGCTGAAGGCAGAGTATTTGGCCCATTCTGTTTTTTTTTTTTTTTGCTGATCAGTGTGGTTTAATTTCCTCTTGCCCTAAATTTTCTGTCTGTGAAATGGAAATTCTGTCTGACCCCAGGCATGTGGTGGAGGGTAATGAGAGAGTCGATATTCCTGGACCCTCAGACACTCTGTAAATTCTACATGAGGGCACGCTAGCTGATAACCACTCATGAGAAGAGTTCACTGCAGCTACATAACTTCTTTCTAACTTTCCATGATCGCCGTGCATGAGAAGAAAGGCTTCGTAGCCGTTACTCCCTCTCATGGGGCTCTCTAGGAGCCTGTCTCTGGCCGCCTTTTGGGGTTACCATTCAGCTGCTGGGTCCGCTGGGTGCGGAAGGGTGTAAAGTATAATATTTGGTAGAAGTCATATGCTTAGGGCTGTGTGCATCTTCTGTGGGAGCACCTGAGCTCCAGAGTTGGCTGATGTCTCACAGTTGGCTGCATGTGAGTTAGAAGAACCTTGAGTCTCCACAATCGCACTCATATGCATATGCAAATGCAATGTCTGTTGCAGAAACCCACCGAAGGCAGGGCCAGGGCAAAGGGTTAGGAGCTACACAGATGCCCAAATGCCAGCTGCTCAGCCAAATCGCATATTGGCCCGAGAAGAGATGAGGTGAGGAAATGTACTCAGGTCTTGTTATTGCAGTTGCTTGTGTTTTGAAGGGAGGTAGGATCACTGGAGGATTAAAAAAAAAAATATATATATATATATATATATATATATATATATATTATTGATTTTTTTACAGAGAGGAAGGGAGAGACATAGAGAGCTAGAAACGTTGATGAGAAAGAAACATAGACCAGCTGCCTCTTGCACACCCCCTACTGGGGATGTGCCCGCAACCAAGGTACATGCCCTTGACCGGAATCGAACCTGGGACCTTTCAGTCCTCAGACGGACGCTCTACCGCTGAACCAAACCGGTTTAGGCAAGTGGAGGATTTTTGTTTGAACTTTCTCAATGATGAAATCGAGATGTTAGAAATAGTGAGCCATTATCGGAAGGAGGAAAGGGATATTGTATCACTGCCACATTTGGCTGGAACCATTGTGAATGGGAACAATGGGACAGTCTCTGTGGGTCCCAGACTTTCTTAAAACAGCCTGTAAGATTGGGTTCACAGGAAGGACCCATTTGCTGGATTCATTTCATCCTCCTTCGTGCTTAGGAATAAATGGTAGGAATGTTACAGTTTACATTGATTTAATCCTGGAGGCCCAGTGCATGAAATTCATGCACGGGAGGGCCCCCAGGCATGGCCATCCGGCTGCTGTCCGGTGCCTTCCTTCCGGCTGCCAGCGGGGGCCTCCCTTCCCAGGCCGTCAGCCACCGGCCAAAGCCTCCCTTTGTTTCTCGTCACCCCCGGTGGTCAGCACATGTCCTAGCGAGGATAGAACTCCTGGTCTCCCTGCTGAACTCTCACGGGGACATTTCGCATATTAGCCTTTTATATGTATAAATAGTTGACCCTTGAAAAACACTGGTTTGAATCATGCAGGTCCACATATATGT